TATGTATATGTATATTTGTTTGTGTATGTAAATGTAGACTTATGGTATGGGAGCGATAATCCCCCATCACCTGTTCAGACTGATGGACCGTCAGACCAGAGAAGGTGCGGCCAGCAGTACTCGTGATTGTTTTGTAGGGCGTTGGCAGATGCATGGGGCAGCGACCAAGTGCTTTGCGCCCGATTCAGCAAGTACATCGATGCTTTGAGGAAGCAGATGGCAAAGGGGGGAGTAGCCACTGCGGATGCACTACTGGGGGACTTCATGGCGGTAGACTATTTGGCTCAGGATATGCGCGAGTACCTTGGAAAGATGGCTAAGGTGTCGACTAGAGAGGGCGTTGTTGTAAGGCCCTCTTTTGGAGTGCTTCCTCCGCCCGCATGCAAGTTTCTTCTTTGGGCTGATAAAGGTGGAATTAGTGTACGTCAAGGCAGTCATGTTGAGTTTAGACAGTGTATGGTTCAATGTATGTTTTTCTAGTCGCTTGTTCGCGAAAGACAAGCGCACAGGATCTCATGTTAAGCGGAGTTACCAGTTTGCGAGTTTGCCACAGGTTCTGGTGTTCTTATGAGGAGAACTTTTGGTGGGACGAGGTGTCCACAAGGTGTTCTTCTACAGGTACAAGGTGTTCTTTGGGCTGATCCTGTACCGCAAGAGGTACCGCAAGGTCATCGGTACTCAATGGATAACGCTATGGCGGCACTCAGTGATCTGCGCTCGCAGCTAGAGAACGAAAGGAAGGAGACGCAGAAGGATTTACGGAAGTTGCTGGACAAGGATAGTAAGCGACTGCAACATGTGGCGCCTGCTACAGGCAGGCAGTCGCGTAAACAGACGAGGTCTCGAACTTTGGAAGATGATGATGGGGCGGTATCGTCTGGAGGAGACACGGACGGTGACTTCAAGGTATTAAGCGCTTCAAATGTCACAAACATGGACAAATTGCGGCTAATTGTCACAAAGGTGGGAAGTGACTGGCGGGGTCGTCGGGCGCGACAGTCGAAGAGAAGGCGTAAGCTGGGAGTGTGATCCAGGGAGCGATCAAAGGTAAGACATAGAGGTCTCCGTTGGCTCAGACGCTACTTTCAGCTTGGTCTCCGAATTCTTTGCGGCTCAGCATGGTCTGATGGTCGCAAGGTGCATGGGTTTGCCGTACAAAGGTGTGGCGTAGATGGATTTAGTCAGGCCTTCGGGTGTGGTCACATAATTGGTGACATTTAGACATATTGGGGGGGGGGACTCTATTGTTCATCCCATGGATCCATTAATTGGGATGTTTTTGCCGTTTGATACGGCTGTCCTGCTTGGGTTTAAGGCGTTGGGTAAGGAGCGTTTGTCACTCATATGAACGAAGCAGGACTGACTGGCGGTTGATCCGCAGACGCAGGTGATAGACTCCTTGAAGTCAAAAAGCTGTGATGAGGAGTAGCCAAAAATACGCGGCCCACCTAGCCGCAAAAGCTAAAAGGAAGTCCGTTACAAGTGGCGCAAGTTAAGTGTATCAGTTCCACTGGATTTGCGGCTCAACACGCTGCGCTCAATTGGGCTTGCGCGAGGTTAACCGTTATCAGGATAAGGGGCAGCTGCGTATCGATTACGTAGTTACGCTCCAGACTCATTTCTTGCGGGTTTGGGTATAGCTGCCGAGCTAGATGATGCAGAAGAGTATATGATACCTTGTCTGCACGATATGTTAGCGGAAGTAGACATGCTATAAGGTGCGAAAAGGATATATATATAC